ACATCATATACATACGAATATACGATCCGATTCCTTTCCATTGGATTTGGACCCGAAACTTGAAATCATGACGACGACGACGATTGTGATTCTTCTTTCTACACGTTGAATTTCTTCTTCAGGAACCTTCGTTGATTCTAGCTTCAATCTCTCGCCTTTTCCTCTTTTCTCGATTCGATTCAGCTTCGATTTCTTCCGGAATCCGATCAGTTTGTACGAACTTAAGAAGCTGGGTATTTCGATCGGATTGAATCCGAGCTTTTATATCCATTCAATCAGGTGAATTCGAACAATCTCTCTTCGTTTCAGGACGTTGCTCAATCTGATTTCAGGTTTTTTTTTTTTAAAATTTCTGGGTTTGAGCATTCAGATCGAGGGTTCATAGATCGATTCTGATTAAAACTCGTGGATCCAATCCAATCCCTAGTTCGATTGGATTTTTGTTGGTAGAGAGGAAAAACAAAAAAAAAATCAAATTTTTATAGATTGGAATCTGTTTCTGTTCTGGTTCCTAATTATCTCGAAGGATTCGAGTTTTGTGAGTGAGATGGTATATCTCCATAGCTCAATCTCGGTCTGCAATTCCGTCGACCAAGCTCCTACATTGATCATGGCGAACTCAGTTAACTCATCAGATTTGCAGACAAAATCAAGGACAAGCCGAAGATCTTACACATCATCATCATCACCAACATGTTCCAAATTCCCTGTCTGCGACGGATCTCAATCGGCTGCAATCGATGTCGTGATTCTTATCGCGGTGATCATGGCTTGTGGATTCTTGTTCTTCCCTTACGTCAAACTCATTACCCTCAAATCGATTGAGATCTTTGCGGAGATTTCTGTTTTAGTCAAAGAAGAGATTTTGCAGAATCCGGTCGTGTATGGATCATTAGCTTTGAGCATTTTCTGCGCTGCGATCTCTACTTGGCTTGTTATACTCTTATGTACGATGCAGAGATGCGGGAAACCGAATTGTAAAGGGCTTAGGAAAGCTGTTGAGTTTGATATTCAGCTAGAGACAGAGGAATGCGTGAAGAGCTCCAATAACAATGGGAAGAACAACAAGAAGGGGATGTTTGAGTTGCCTCGTGTCCATCACCGTGAATTGGAAGCCGAGCTGAAGAAAATGGCACCGCCTAATGGGCGAGCAGTGCTGGTTTTTAGAGCGAGGTGTGGTTGTTCTGTAAGGAGATTAGTGGTTTCAGGGCCAAAGAAACAACAGAGGAAGATCAAGAAATGAAAAGAGATAGAATGAAAAAAAGAGGTTCGATCTTTGGAAAAGAGATTGGATCGGTATACTTTTGTTTGGTTAGTTTTTATTCCTCACACACTATTTTACAAGAACTCATATACTATATGTTAATCTATGTGTTTAAATAAGGTACAATGGGAATAAGCATTGTAAGGATATTGTGGGAAACCGGTTATAGTGAAGAACATTTTGGTTATAACCTCTGATTTTAGCTAACTTTGGATCGAGCCCTATGGAGATAGGCGTTGATGTTGGTTCTGGTATTACCTGGTTAAGTTTGAAACATTTGTGCAGGTTATCAAAAGATTAGATTATCATGTGTGTTTTTGTGTTTGTTCCTTCTATGTTTTTATGTGCTTTGTTATGAAGCTTGATAAGTGATGAGCTTTGAACTTATATCGTTTAGTGTTTCTTGATTTGTTGCAAGAATCTGTAGAGTTACACTTGATGACTTTTGTCATGGACTATCTTGATTAAAAATTATGACATGACAATTTTTTTTTTATAAAATGGTGTCATTAGTTTTACTATTAGGCCTTATGTTAGCATCAACACCTAGAACTATATGGATGGTCAAGTTCGCTCTTTTAGTTAAAAAAAAATTGGTTATATCCAAAACAAGCTTATAGCCATAGTTAACACAAAACCAAAGTCTTTTATTTTTGTTTGTTACAAATTGAATTAGTTTAATTCAAAATCCGAATATATCCAACATGTATAAAACAAAAATTTGCATCAATAAGGAAAGACACTCAAGATTATGACATGACCCTTGAACAAACTTTATTAATTAATGATAAGTCTAAGGGAAAAAAATTCCAACAAGGCTCTTTCTCCGTAGCTTCTTCATCATCATCATCTTCTTTATAAAGACACTCTCTTGAGAG